CAACTGCATATCGCACATGCGCACTCACCCCTCCCTTCAGGTGCGTTTGGCTCTCCCAGCTGCTGTCGCCAGTGTCGTTCTGGTCTCGTCTAGACTCGTCCCTTCGAGACACGCCCCTTATGCCCTCGTCTCGGCCAATCAGCGCGGCCCGTTTCAAAAAGAGGCGGAGGAGGGAGGGGGAGGAGGAGCGAGGCGAAAACTAAGGGGAAGGAAGAAGGTCATGGCAGAGGAGGAGGGAGCTTCAGTTTGCATGATTGGCTGCTGCTCTCGCCAATAGAGATAGAGAAAGCTGATACGGGCGGGAGGGGAATGAAGGCTCAGAATAGTCCTGGAGGAAGGTGCCCAACCGGGATGGGCGGGGTTTGGTGACGGAAGGCCACGCCTACAGGAAGATTATGGGAGGTGCGTAAAGTAGATGCCTGGTATTTTGTCTTGCTATTTCTTATCACTCTAATTTAAATCTGAATGTGTGTGTGTGTGTGTATACGCAGTTAAGTATTAGGTTAATTTATGCTTTATTTATTTATAAATAAATTTATTAAAAATTATTAATTTTTGTTTAAGCTTTACTTGACGTTATTTATGGGTTAGTACTCATTAAGAAAACACTTAACATCAGAATGCAGTGAGTGGCATGATAATTTCATTAGGCATTTTACAAAAAATAAATTCATATCTTGCCCAATAATTGAGCATAATAAAATAATATACATTTGTAATTAGATATGACCCCACATATATACATATAATTATACATTTGTCATATGCAGCTTTATCCTTTAATCTTGTGATATTGTTACAAGACTTTTATTGGTTAGATTTTTATCCTGCCTTTGTTTGTAGTGAATACAAGATGGCATACAAACTTCTGCTTTCTTATTTTTCCACAACAATCCTGAAAGATAGGTTGAGCTTGTGTGCTTTGGTTATTGGAATATTTTAGTCTGTATTTTAGTCTAGCAATGAGTCCAAAGTGTTGACTTCTGTAGGTTTAATCCTTTTAACCAAATGTAATTAGTTTTACCCTCTTATGTCTATGGCTTTTAGAAAGTTTTCTTTGAAGATAAACAGGCTTAATTTAAGGCAGCAGTTCTCAACCTATGGGTCACAACCCCATTTGGGGTCGATTGACCATTTCACGGGGGTCGCCAAGCAAGGCTGTCCACCATTTTTTTCCCCTTTTCCGGCGGGTGCCTTACCTCCCTTGGGCTGGGCCAGCTGGTGGTTGGCCTGCTCCGTCTCTGTCGCTTGCCAGCTACGCCTCGGCCGGCGCAGGGGGCGGAACCACGCATGTGCGGAGCTCCCGGGCAGGGAAAGTCCTCGACTTACAACCGGTTGGGTAGTCCTCGACTTATGACCGGTTTAGTCCTCGACTTACGACCAGTTTAGTCCTCGATGTACGACCGGTTTAGTCCTCGACTTACGACCGGTTGGGGGTCACGGCATTAAAAAGGTTGAGAACCACTGATTTAAGGCTAAAGCTTTTAACAATTGCTGGAGCCTTTCAGTCTCAGATTGCAACATTGTGACACGTGACACACCTGAGGCAGCTTTAAAAAAAAACCCGGAGTTTATGTGTTTCTTTATTTTGTGAGCCTTTCTTGGTTTGCACTTGATTCCTGTGTCTTTAAGAGTACAGTGAAGGGATTGGGGAGGGAGGTGCATTCTTACTACACTCAGAAGGGAGAGAGGAAGAAGGGCCGACCGGCTAGCTCAGGGGTCTACAAACTTAGCAACTTTAAGATCTGTGGACTTCAGCTCCCAGAATTCCTCAACCAGCCATGATGGCTGAGGAATTCTGGGAGTTGAAGTCCACAAGTCTTAAAAGGGCCAAGGTTGAAGACTCCTGAGCTAGCTCGTAGTGGTGCATATTAATAAACATGGATAAGTTCATCATACATTTGTCAGTGCAAAGGGAAAGTGATTCAGCAAAGGAACAGCCACCGAAGAAATTAAAACTGGTACTTTTTTACTTTTTTTCTACAGTTTGTAATATTTTATTAGATTATAGAATAAAATACAAAAATACAAAAGCAAATAGTAGGACACAGTGGGGAGGAAAAGTGGGGGAAAGTGAGGGGGAGAAGGGAAAAAGAACAGACTTCCTCTGTTGCAGTGGAAGGAAGCATTAACATTGAACCTCAACTTTTTACTCTTCCATAATATTATAAACTAGCCATTTCTATAACAACAAATGAATCTAATCAATAAAACCCAAAATCCCCCCCTTTTTTTTAGTCATCAAGTTTTTGACACCTTGCTAAGCACTGGTGGTATTCAAATACTGTCATGTCCTAAAAATGGTACAATCTGTGAAAAGGTTGAAAAGCCCTGTGACATGGACCAATAGTCTTTCAATACAAGATAAAATAGCTGGAAGCATTAATATAAAACCTCAATCTTAAATATTTTGGATGCATAATGTGTAGGCAAGAGTCATTAGAAAACATCCTAATGCTTGGAACAGGACACAATAACGAAGTGCAGAAGCACCACACTGGCAATATATTGTCAAGGCTGTTATTTTCCCTATAGTAACATGGTGATGAAAGCCACACTAACGTGGTCCTGTAAAAAATTGTATCAGAAATTATTACGCAAATATATAAGATTGTAATTTTTATGATGATATGATTTTGTGTCTGATATTACTGTAGGATTATTGAGGCGGGGTGTGGATGCTGTTCCCTGAACCACAGGAATTAATAATTCATTATAGATGTAGAAAAACCAGGCTGATGACTGGAAGCACTAAGAATAAAGCTATTATGGACTGGGACAGGAATCATTGGAGAAAACCCTGATGCTTGAAACAATTAAAGGCAACTGAAAAAGAGCTAAACCAAAAGTTAGGTACTATCATCACTGATGACACAGAATACTGTGTAGGTGCTTACGAACACCTCCAATAAGTTGTGATGAGCAAATAGTCTTGGCAAATCATTATCCATTGACTCACAGAAATAACTGAGCAATAAACACCCACGTTTTGTCAAGCACATAAGTTTTGATCATGCAACTACAGGGATGCTGCAGCAGTTCCAATTGCGAGGACCAATTTGCAAGTCTCTTCTCTCAGTGCTGTCATAACTTCAAGAGGTCATTGAATGAATGATTATAAGATGAAAAGCACCCGTAGTAGTTACAGAGTATCACACCTTTGTAACCTCTCGGTTAGACTACTGTAACAAACTCTACAACATGGGGCTGCTCCTGAAGACCATTTGGAAACTCCTACTACTGCAGAATGCAGCTACGTGGGTAGTAACTGGTACCAGATACATGCACATGGAACACCATTTCTGTGTGAGCTGCATTGGTATGTTTCCAGATGCAATTCAGTCCCTATATGGCTTGGGACTGGGGTGCCTGAGGGATCATCTTTTTCTAAGAATCTCCATCCATCCAACCAGACTGAACAGAATGGGCATGCTGCAGATCCCGTTAGCCAAAAAGTATCAGCTGGTGATGACCAGAAGACGAGATTTTTCTGCAGTGGCCCCTGCTCTATGGAACATCCTTCAGAGATTAGAATGGTCCCAACCCTGTTAGCCTTAGGGTCCTAAAAAACCTGACTATGTTCCCATGTCTGCAGTGTTGAATGTGTTTAGGGCCCCATTTCCTGCTAGATTGCTAACTGGCCAAGTATCTTGCTCCCCTATATATTTAATCTGGATGTATTTAGTATTTGAAAAATGTTTGGAGTGTTTTTAATGGCAATGTATTTTTTGAATTGTAAGCCACCCATTGACTGAGAATGGGTGGTAGTTAGAGAAATTAAATAAATAAATATGTAATTGTGTAACATGTTTTCCCATGCTTGAATGAACTTTGCTTCTGCTCAAGGAAGTCAGTTGTTTAGGATTACACAATACACGGAACCTTAAACTGATGGATTCCTTGGATGGTACATTAGGTTAACCTCGCTGATTTTGTATGATTAATGATTAAGGTGTTGCTCTATGATAGGAGAGACGGAGACTTGATCAGCTTCCTGAATTATTTTAGGACAGTCCCTCTCTTGGCCAAAGGGCCAGGGGTGTATGTGATGATGGGGGTGCTGGTTTAACATCAAGGAAACCCAATTTCCAGCTCGCCCTTAGCGATGGAATATTGCTGGATGATTTTGGATGGGTCATCCTCTCCATTCAAACTGTTTCACAATCCTTGTGCAGGACGAATTGGAGCAGGGAGTACTATGCATAGCTCTGCCTGGATAAATATATCATTATATACCATAAATGTATAATTCTGTGTGTCATGCAACCCATCAAATTGGGTTGATTGAATAAATAATAATAATAATAATAATAATAATAATAATAATAATAATAATAATAATAATAATAATAATAATAATAATAATAATAATAATAATAATAAAGTTGGAAGGGACCTTGGAGTCATTTAGTCCAACCCCCTGCTCAGGCATGTTTACAAATGCTGTGCCCTGGGAATCACAAGTTGCTTTGACACATTGTGCCAAATATGGTTCCTTCAACTCTGGATTATTGGATTGTTGAGAAAAACACAATTTGTTGGGATTACCTAACATGCTAAAATGTAAATTTAACAGAAGAAAAGTTAATGGAGACATAAGCAAAACAGAGAATATAGAATTTTTTTGAACCAGTCACTCCCTCTCAGCCCCACTCAACTCAGCTAGTTGTTGTGGGGAAAATAGGAGGAAGGTTTGTTGGATATGTTTGCCACCTTGAGTTACTGTATATGTAAAAATAATAAAGGTGAGATGTATAAATAAATGAATTTAACTTTGCATTGCTATCAGCTTTGAGCATGCTCATCAGCTGTACAAGTGGCTTTAATAAGGATAAAAACAATTATTGTATACTACTGTAGAGGTAGATCTTGCTTATTGACTGCCTCATGTAGTGAATATTTGAACTTATGACTGCTGAAAAAATAACTTTGAGACCAAGGGGCACATTTTTTTTTATTAAATAAATTTATATGGCCACCCAACTCGTGCATGATACCTCTGGGCAGCTTACTACATTAAAAATCCAGAATATAAAACTCTTATCCACCTCCTTTATGATTTTTGCAGCTTCTCTCTCTTAATCA